TTATTTAGGAGCTTATAGCTTATTTTAAGCTACTAATAAGCTATAAGCTCTTGACAGGATAATGGTGCTGGCACCCGACCCGGATCATAAGCAGCACCTGACCCAACACCATATTTAACCCGACATCGTGTGGAATTCCAACAGGCAGAACTCCAACGGGCAGAACACCAACGGGTGGAAACATTATGGCCATTCATTGCATTGAAGGGAGAGAATTAAAGCTGAGCGCCTCATTCATGATTCTTCATGCTAATGCCGTTAGCCTCAGCTCCCTAATTATGACTCTTCATGTTGTTACCGTTAGGACTTAGCATAAATAGAACTCCCCTCAGCTAGCAAGGGAGGAGGACACACTGTACTTTCTATACTGAGACAAAGGCAATACAACTATTGTTACTCTCTCTTTCACGTAACGTCATTCTAATATTATATTTCCGGTAACATTATTACCGTCATTGGTGCTTTCATTGAGAGCCTGAGTCCAATACTCAAGCAGGCTGCAACACAACTCTTTTTCTCTTTCAACAGCAAGCTTGAGAGAATGGCGTCCCGCAGCTCCCACGGTTCTCGCAACGTGAACAATGACAACGCCTCAGGTGACCTCCGTGACCTACTCACCAACAATCGCGGAGGGGACCTCCGAGAACATCTCAACAACGGGAGGCCCGGGGACCTTCGAGATCAACTCAACAATGGAGGAGACCTTCGAGACCAACTCAACAATGGAGGAGACCTCCGAGATCAACCCCACAATGGGGGGGCGAACCAAGTCATGAGCCTCCAGGCAACCATTCAGCAAGCAGTGACGGCGGCACTAAACCAAGTGGCGGTGGGACTGCAAGGCCAAGTGCCCCCGCCGCGGCCTCGGGAAATAGAGGTAGAGTCCCCACGGAGAGTGGATGCCCAGGACGCAACCCGTGCCGCGAGGGATGCAGGGCGTCGCACTAGGACTGGGGGCCCGGGAGAGGGTACCCAAAGAAGCGGACCGGCCGGACGGCAACCCAGGCCCTCCCGCTCTGCCTTAGAACGGTTGGGACACGGGGCGCCCGCTCGGCAAAGGCCGGAATCGCGTGCCGAGGGGTCTTCCGCTAGAGGCCCTCGCCGACACGAGGAAAGATAAGCGGAGAGATCGCCCATAGAAAGGATGGGCGAGTCTCGTGGGCCGGCCCCGCGCCGCCACGGTAATGAGTCGGCCCCGCGTCGACACTCGGAAGAGCGACGCTTCGACGAACCGGCCCCGCGTCGGCACTCGGCGGAGCGACGCGTGGATGAGCCGGTTCCGCGTCGGCACTCAACGGGCGAACGACGCATTGGTGAGCGGGTTCCACATCGACACTTGGATGGACAAAACGTCGAGGAACCAGCTCCGCGTCGACATTCAGATGGACGACACGAACTAGCCCCATACATGGAGGAGCGGCAGCCGGCCCCGCACCGGCACCCTGATGAATCAGCCCTGGTCGAAAGGCTGCAGAGAAGGATCGAGGAGTTAGCAAGAAGGGTAGAGGCACGGGAGCAGTCGCCGGAACCCGAGGTACGAATGGCAGCACCGTTCTCCCCAAGCATCATGGACGTACCTCTGCCGAGGGACTTCAGGTTACCCGCCATCAAGGCATACACAGGAGCCACTGACCCACGTGTCCACATAACTAGGTACAAAGCTGCTATGGTGATGATTGGGGCAGGGGACGCCATCATGTGCCGAGCGTTCTTGTCCACCCTAGATGGAACGGCCCAAGATTGGTTCAACACCATCCCAGACGGGTCGATCCAAAATTTTGGAGAGTTGTCCAAAAGCTTCCTGACATACTTCTCTGGTAGCATACAGCGTAAGAAACCATTCTCCCACCTCTGTGTGGTAAAGCAAGATAGAGGCGAGAGCCTCAAAGACTTCCTGATCAAGTGGAAAAAGGAAGTCAATAATGTCTACGATTTCGACTCCAAGGCGGCGATCCCGATATTCATCCACGCCTTGAGATCAGGGTATTTTCACAAGCAGCTGAACGCCCACCACCCCCGTTCGTACGAAGATTTGATGAGGACGGCTAACCGCTATGCCGAAGCAGAGGACGTCGACAGGAAGAAGAAGGACGAAGAGGATGGAAGGAAAGGTGGGAAGCCTGGGAAAGCGGGTCTGCCCAGCTAGGCACCACTCTCGAACCACCCGACCGCAGGGAAAGGCCAAGACCACGAACGACCTCGCCTGGTTCCCTTGCGTAATCTAACTCCTCTTACCCATCCCGTCAGTGTCATTCTAAAGCAAGCTGAGGAGATGGGAATGGTAGAATTCCCCGAGGAGTGCATGAAGGTCTCCCCGAAGGCGGACCAAACAAAGTACTGCAGGTTCCATAGGCAAACCGGTCACGATACGGATGAGTGTCACGTTTTGAAGAGACAAATAGAAGAAATCATCCAGCAGGGCTACTTCCGACATTTCGTCAAGCGATCCAAGCAGCAGCAACAGCCGTAACACAATCCACCAAAAAATGTCTGGAGGAATGAGGATGGCACAGAGCCGTCCACCTCGAACGCCAAAAAAAGAGAACACGACCGAATATCTGAGCAGAATGATAGCGAGAAAGAAACCGAGGTGGCGCCCAGACGACAAAAGAAGCACACCATACACTTTATCTATGGTGGACCCGCAAGGGGCGACACGCCCGCGGAAAGAAAGAAGTGGAGCCGGCAGCTATACGTGGGAGAAGTGGTGAGTCTTCCTAGAGAAAAGAAACAGAGACAGGAGGCCCATCACCTTCTCTGATGATGACCTCCCAGAGGGCCCGTTACCCCATCGTGACGCCCTGGTGATTAAGATGGACGTCAACGATGTCATGGTCTACCGCATCTTAATCGACACAGGAAGCTCAGTCAACGTGATGTATTACGATGCCTTCACCAAGTTAGGGATACCTAGGAACCAGCTCAAAGAAGTACGTACCCCACTCTCTGGATTTACGGGTGATTCAGTGGAGACAGAGGGGTCAGTGGTCTTACCAGTGGAGATAGGCACGAGCCCTAACATTCGCAAACTTGACGTAGAATTCATCGTGGTAAGACTCGCTTGTGCGCACAACATCATATTGGGGAGGCAGGCACTGGAGGACCTCAAGGCCATAGTGTCGGTGGAACACTTGTGTATGAAGTTCCATACTCCGAATGGGGTAGGAGTCATCAAAGGAGACCAGCGAGCAGCCCCCAGTTGTTACGTAAAGGCATGCAAAAAGATTGGATGAAAGGATCTACAAGTCCACACCATCTGCAAGGATGATCGATCGGGTATGGAGCTCAGAACATTTAGTTAGATATTATTAGTAATACTTTGTAGTCGTGGTCCGCCCAGACCTGTAAACAATATTTTGTAATCATGGTCTGCCCAGGTTACTTTGCTCAAATAAAAGGTTCTCAACACCACCTTCGATCTACCAAAAGCCGGCCGACGACGCATTGTAAAAAAAAAAAAAAAAAACTAAAAGATTAAATAAAGTAAAAATAGAGAATCGAGTCCTCGGTCACGGGTTGGCCAAGACAAAACTCGGGTGGCCTCGGCCACAGCTTCGGCCGAGGCATGCCTCAGCCGAAGAGCCGAAGTCCGCATCGGCCGAAAAAAAAAAAAAAAAGAAAAAAAAAGGGGTCGGGCAGCGCCTCAGCCGCAGGCAGAGGCGCACGTCTCGGTTTTCTGGTCGAGGCGACGCCTCGGCCAGATAGCTGAGGCCGCGCCTCAGCCACAGGCCGAGACGCACGTCTCGGCCTTCTGGTCGAGGCGACGCCTCGGCCAGATGGCTGAGGCCGCGCCTCAGCCAAGGTCGAGGCGACTCCTCGGCCTCCTGGTCAAGGCGACGCCTCGATCCAAAAAAAAAAAAAAAGGCCGGGCAGCGCCTCAGCCACAGGCCGAGGCGCACATCTCGGCCTTCTGGTCGAGGCGACGTCTCGGCCTTCTGGTCGAGGCGACGCCTCGGCCAGATGGCTGAGGCCGCGCCTTAGCCACAGGATGAGGCGCACGTCTCGGCCTTCTGGCCGAGGCGACGCCTGGGCGAGATGGCTGAGGCCGCGCCTCAACCAAGGCCACAAGCCGAGGTGCGGCGCCTCGATAAAAAAAAAAAAAAAAAAAAATCGCCAGGCGCACAACTCGGCCAGGCCAAGGCACGCTTCTCGGCCATTGGCTGAGGCGCACGTCTCGGCAACCGACTGAGGCAGCACCTCGGCCGGGGGCCTGATGGTGGTGGTGTAGTTGTGGTGATGGTTGTGCAGTGCTGGTGGTGGTGGTTGTATTAGTATGATGGTGGTGGTGGTGGTAACAATATTAATAATAGTAATAATAATAGTAATATATTATTATTATTATTATTATTATTAAGTGGTGCTCATTGTGGTGACTTGAGGATAATAATTATTCAAAAACTAACTTACAAAAATATGATAGAGAAAATAAATAAAAAAATAAATAATTCAAAAAATATCTTGCAACTAAAAATATAAAAAAAATATTTTCCATCAATTCAAAATATTTTTTTAAACTTTATTTTCCTTAAATATTCTGGGTTTCTAAACTAACACTTAGGGGTCGTTTGGTTCACGGAATGTCAGATTACCTTAGGGGATGTTAGATTGCTGGGAATATTAGATTACTGGGAATGTTAGATTCCTGTGTTTGGCTAAAATTGGGGTATGTAATATAATCATGTTTGGTTTAGGGTTATCTTTTACACATACTATAATATCCTTAAGATAACCAAGGTTATCTTACATTACCTAAGATTTTGAAGGGAATCACATTCCCTTCAAAATCCTATGTGGAGGGAATATGACATTCCTTGGGAATGTCAGATTCCCTAAGATAATATGAACCAAACACCGGAATGTGAGCTTTGGAATGTCACATTCCCTTGGTTATGTTATATAACCTGAACCAAACGCCCCCTTAAAAAAAACAAGGAGAGAATATTTGCATTACAACATTTGAAAAAGAAAATGAGAATATTTGAATTAACGTCCAATCAAATGCCTCAAAACGCCATGACTGTCATCTGCATTCTGTATTTCTGTAGGCTGTAGGCTTTAGGCTGTAGCTCTCCATAGCGCCCAATATACTCCCCCTCCTTCTCTCTTTACACTCTACTATCTTTCCAATTTCCAAAACCCTAAGGCGTTCCAATTTCCAGAACCCTTCCTTCTCTCTCTACACTTCAACTCTTTTCCTTTCCACACCAACTTGTGTATACGTATCATCTGTATATTTAGATAGACAGCCGTTATGTCCTACAAGTATCGGTGAACTGATCGATCATCCGCCTCCGGTGCATGTACAACACCATCGCTCTCCAACTTTCTCTCAGAGGTTCTGTAACTTCTCTCAAAGTTTTTATTTTTATTTTTGGAATTGAAAACAGAAAAGGATTCGTACTGTATTTATGTATATATTTATATTCACTCACAAACTTACGTATATATGAAACTATGAAATTCAGTAATCCCTTTCTTACAACGGGAAGAAGAGTAGCATGGGCAGTTCTTAACTTCTTATGTAATAGTTTCCATTGAAATGACCTACTTCAAAATCTTTAATTTTTTAGAATTTAAAAAGAAAAAAAGTAGGATTTTAGTATAGTTTTTAAAACTTTGATTTGAATTTCGTACTTGTTTTCTCAGTTGGCTACTTGTGCCCGGATTTTGGGCGCACCTACGGTCATTTCCAGAGCCCAATGGATATGCGTGAGGCACTTCTGGTAGAGGATGAAAAGGAAGGGATCAGAAGAAGAATTATAGCAGAAGAGATTGATCGAGTAAGGATCTTGAATGCTGAACTAAGGAGGGAGCCTATGATGCCAAGGGTTGGGAGGTTACCTCCTTCTTCTTCTGGAGGATTCTTGATGGGGTTTGAACCTAGGTTCCCACCTCTGGAACAACAGCCGCAGCAGGTTCAGGAAAGAATGGTAATGCCGTCTGGTGAGAGGCTGGGTTTGGGGATTTCAAGTGCTGGAATGCCTGCAAGTCGTGAATTTGGTTATGTTGAGATGGTGCCATTTAAGGAGCGAAGGGTTGAATTAAGCAGTTCAGAGGTACCTTTTGAACAACGGAGTGTGACACCAATGGTCTCAGAGATGCCTTCTAAGAACCATGGTGTACAATCTCGAATTTTGGAGTTGAAGCCGAAGCCTCCCTCTAACCCTGAGCAGATGAGTAAGGAACTAAACATTTCAGGGGTGGGCGCCACCACTGAGCATGACAAAGAGAACGACAAATTGCTGGTAACTATGCCTTGTGCATTCTTCTTTAAGTCTCTGATCTGATGCTTGTCCATCCACATGTGAATTTAGCATTCAATGAAGTGTCAATAATTTCTTTATAGAGTAGAAGTATTGTGATTGATGTTTAATGGTTAAGCATCTCTTCTTTAATGGATTTAATCTATCTGGCAATGCATTTTTGTTACTGTACTTTAATATTGGAGCTTCTTGTTTTATTTTATCCTTTGCTACTTGAGTGAAATTCTTGTAATGATTGAGATTTATTGTTTAAATATTCAGTTCAGAGATGCTTATAAGTTTGTGTGTTGAACTGTCAATACCATATCTCTGAATGTATAGTAGTTGATGTTGAATCTTTCAATTGCAAATATCTTTGATTGATTTAAATTTCTTTTTTGTTAAAATGTATTTGAGTTTTGTGACATGCTAAGTAATTATATTTTTCCTGGTTGCTATATATAGTTATCTTGAATATAGGTTCTCATGAAATACTACTGTTTTTATTTTTTGTTTTTGATTTAAGTATGATGTGATGTGTATATTCTGCATCTATATCTTCTTTGAAGATCTTACCTCTGCATGTTTAGTTGTAGATTTCTGAAATTAACAGTTGCTCTCCAAAGAATGGCATGCCCATGGGCTATTCAATTTTGATGGATGGAAATGATTTGGTGACGGTTCTTCCTAGCTCCTGATTTGCCCTCAACACTGCTCCCTTTCCTTCTTGTGCTTTAAGTTACAGTCCTTTCTTCCTTAGTTCCATTGGGGTTAGGCCTAAAATGTTCTGTCCATAGCAAAGGGTGATGGCCAATGGTTAAAGCAGTTTTTCGTTCATTATCTTTATCTATAAGCTACTCTTTTCACTGAGACAATTTGCACTTATCTTAGTTCAAGCTGATGGTTTTATAGTTCTAGTTTTTATTTATTCGTACATTTTATAGTTCTGGATCATCAAAATATATGAAATAGGCATTTATTATTAGATTAGAGTTCTGAACATCTTTTAATAGAAAATGGAGGTAGCACCAAAATTAAGAGGTAAATAGTCACTTAAGGATATTGGATGTTGTTGTGCAATCTGAGTTATTATAATTTTTGTGAATAAGAAGCACTTGTTTGAGAAGATTTCTTATCAGCCTATTCTTTGTTTGGTATAGTGGTGTTAAATGTTTAAGATTATCTTCTTCAGGATCCAGATTTGTTAGGAGCAGAAGGCTCCACTGTATTCTCTGTTGAAATGATTATTCTGAATTCATTGGGTGAAGTTTAGGAGTTTAGCTTCCCTAGAAGTTATGAGTGTATACTGATGCAAGTGGCTTTGTAATATCTGTAAGACAGAGGATTAGAATTAGCCCAATTGATCCAATAGCCCGAGTAATCTACAAGCCCATGAAAATTAGCCCGTAAAGATAAATTCGACACAAGCCTACCTGGAGCTCCAGAAAGGGAATTTACGTATTTTGCCCCTCTAGGTCTCACCTATAAAAGGGAGTAATGACAAATGGAGGGGGGGTTCTTGCTACATCACAGACAGATCTGAAAGACAACACTCTTAAATATAGTAATTTTCTTATTATAGCATTAGCAAGTTTTTCCCTTATTGTTTCTTTTATGTCTTTTTCCTATGAAAGAAGTGAGTAGCTGAATAGGTATCGATTTCATGGTCAAAATTACATACATTACCTTTGTTATGCACTTTGTCCCAAGCGTATTAAATACTAATGAATAGCTGATTGTGCATTGTTATAGGCTAAGCCTAATGTAAATCTCTCAGGAGTGAAGCGGAGGGAAGAAATGGCAGCAGAAGCGGTTAGAAGCAGTGATCTCCCAACAAATGGAGTCCCAAAGAAGAAAATTAAAAATGGGTGGGGTTGTGCACTTTGCCAGGTTAGTGTGACAAGTGAGCGTGACCTGAACTCACACCTAAAAGGAAGGAAACACAAACACAAGTCTATGGAGGTTGCTTTGACAGCACAGGGGAATGGGAAGAGTTTAAGAACTGGTGGTTTCCCCGAGGAACACAAACCACTTAACCTTGATGCCACACTAGATGTTCCAATGGCTGAGAAAAAACAGAAAACGGGAGAAACTGCCAGCATTCCTGAAGGTAAAGATGCTACATTGTTGCAGATTGAGCATAATGCAGACAACTCAAGGAATGATAAAGAGGAAGCTGGAAAAGGTGCTGAAAAGGTTTAGCAAATGCTGTTTAATGGAGCCATCATCAAAGTGTCAACCCAGAAGATTAGATTCTTAGCTTGCAGCAGACCATGAAATTCTCAAGCAGCAAAGAAGAATTTTTTGCATAGATCTCAAATTAGAGCATCTACACCAATGCATTTTTTGTGGTTTTTGGAATAGTAAAAACCAAGTGTGTAGTTTTTGCACAAATGGGAGATGGGGTTTTTGGTGTATTTTTCTTCTGCAAGTGCAAAGCTTTTGTGGGGTCCATTGATTGAGAAATAGAAACAAAGCATAATGCTTTTCTTCGCGTGTTGGAGACGCAGGCGCCTAGCCTAGCGCGTGTTGGTCTTTTTTTTTTTTTGGCTTTCTTCTCTCTCCTAATGGTATTTCAAAAAACGTGTAAAATGCATAGCTGATGAGGGTGCTCTTAAACAAGAAATCATCTAATTCGTGAATATGCAAGTCATGCAATAGGTATGACTTTTGACTTTGAAACATCCTTGGCATAATTGCATGCATCTAAAAGTCCCCCTCTAAATGCAGAGGAGAAAAATATTGATTAAGTAGTGCAAAGCTTGACACTTGAGTACTAGTATTTAGAATATTCGAATTAACATGCAGTGACAACGTATTATCTTATCAAGTGGTTGAATGAATCTTGAATTTTTAGGTGAGAAATTTAGAGTAAGTGACATGTGTATCACCTTAGAGTTTGTGCAAGTTCTGCAACAAAAACAAGTAATGACCACAAAATCTTAGGATACTGTAATTGCTTTCAAAAGACTATTCATAGTCTTCTGTAGAGGCGGCTAGCCCCACACCCTCATCTAAGTGATTTTATTAAGTTCATTTTATGATTAAAAATAATTTATGTTTAACCTCTCAAATATCTAGTGATAAGCCCATTAAGTCAATTTTAATACGACAACCCATCTCTTACAACACGTTTGGTATATAGAATGAATCTATACTATATATAAAAACAAAATCCTGAACTTTAACTTCCCGTCCAATTCCTAAAAAATATCTCTTTCTAATAAAATATATTGTTTTTTGCTTTTCTATTCGTAGTATGGTATAATTCTAGGTTAAAATTCATATTCTAATATATTATAAAATAGTGTAATATAATTCCTATTCTAATCTATATCTATACTCTATGGATAGTTATGTTGTGCATCGATGCCAAAACGACGTTGTTTTATTAAAAAACGCGCGTCTCCCCTTTAAAAAAAATTCAGGTTCGATTTCCAGCAACAACATTATATTGTTCATTCATTCTGGAATTTTAGTTCATAGATTATGAAATTATAGTTCATTGATTATGGAATTATAGTTCATCGATTATGGAATTGTAGTTCATCGATTTTGAAATTTTAGTATATAGATTATGGAATTTTAGTTCATTCATTCTGGAATTTTTAGTTCATCGATTAGATTATGGAATTATAGTTCATCGATTATGAAATTATAGTTCATCGATTATGGAATTTTAGTTCATATGTTGTTGCTGGGAATCGAACCTGATTTTTTTTTTAAGGAGAGACGCGCGTTTTATTAAAACGACGTCGTTTTTGCATCCGTATGCACCATGCATGGTGCATACGGATGCACAGCATAATTTGCCATACTCTATACTATATATATATAAAAACAAAATCCTAAACTTTAATTTCCAGGCCAATTCCTAAAAAATCTCTCTTTCCGATAAAAATATGTTGTTTTCTACTTTCCTATTCGTACTATAATTCTAGGTTAAAATTCATATTGTAATATTATAAAATAGTGTAATATAATTCCTATTCTAATCTATATCTATACTCTATACTACTATATATAAAAACAAAATTCTAAACTTTAACTTTCCGCCCAATTCCTAAAAAATCTTTCTTTCTGATAAAAATATATTGTTTTCTACTTTTCTATTCATACTACAATTATAGGTTAAAATTCATATTCTAATATTATAAAATAGTGTAATACAATTCCTATTATAATCTATACTATATATAAAAACAAAATTTTGAACTTTAATTTCCCGTCCAATTCCTAACAAATATCTCTTTCTAATAAAATATATTGTTTTCTGTTTTCCTATTCGTAGTATAATTCTAGGTTAAAATTAATATTCTAATATTATAAAATAGTGTAATATCATTCCTATTCTAATCTATATCTATACTATATATAAAAATAAAATCCTGAACTTTAACTTCCCGCACAATTCCTAAAAAATATCTCTTTCTAGGGTTTTGGTTAAAAACTTTGTGAAGGCATAACTTTTGACTCCTTTGTCCGTTTTGGACAATTTTTTTTTTTTTTTCAAATCGCGTATTTTATCGAGATTTACCCACCGCAAACAGCCATAGGCGGTTTGCCCCACCAATTTCTCAAAATAATGCTTCTTTAGCTCTTACTTTTAGTTTTTTTTTTTTTTAATGTATTTTGATGGTTTCAACAATATTTCAAACAATTTTATAGCCACTTAAATAAATATTTTGTAAGAAAAAAGATAAGAACCTTATGTTATTAGTGAATTTTGATAATTTTTAATTTTTTTTTTACATTTAAAAAAAAATATCGACGCCTAGGCGCCCCCTCGGCACCTAGGGGGCTCCTATCGTGTTTTGCAACCTTGATATATATATATATATATATATATATATATATATATATAATTCAGTTTCCGTGCGGTTGTGTGGTTAAATCTGAGCCATTGATCTTGCCTAAATCAACGTCATGGATTAACAATGATTAAAAAAATGTGGTGGCAATTTGGTCATTGCATCTAGGGCAAATTTAAGGTGCGTGATTTTTCTGCTTAAGGTGCGTGATTTTCCTTCTTAAGGTGCATGAGTTTTGTGCTTAAGGTGCATGGTTTTTTTACTGTGTGGCTTAAGGTGCGTCAATTGTTGAAAAAGTAAGTGCATCAATCTAAAGCTTTAGGTGCGTACGTGGTTTTCCCTCTTAAGGTGCATGGTTTGTGTGCTTAAGGTGTGTTAGTTGTTGAAAGTTAAGGTGCGTCGGCCTAAAGCTTTATGTGCATGATTTTACTTCTTAAGGTGCGTGATTTGTATGTTTAAGGTGCGTCAGTCAGTTGTGGAAACTTAAGGTGCGCCATTTTAAAACTTTAAGTGTGTGGTTTGTGTACTTAAGGTGCGTCATTTTAATGCTTAAGGTGTGTGATTTATGTTCTTAAGGTGCTTTGTTTGCGTGCTTAAAGTACGTGGTATGTGTATTTAAGGTACGTCATTTTAATACTTATGGTGCATTGTTTTTGTGTTAACCATATAACCATACAAAAAGCTATCTCTGCACTAAAACTCATCCCTATATATATATATATATGGGTATCCCCCTTCCTTTGTAATAAAAAAAAATATATATATATAACATTTTTCAATATAAATATTACATTTGAGCGACACAACTTTTTGCCTTAACCATATATAATTATTTGAAGGACTAGAAATGCAACCCATTAGCTAGCTAGGTTTGACTCACACAATGGAGCAGCCTTGTGAATAGGTGTCATAAACGGGTTGGTAAACCGGATATGGCGGATAAGGTCTGCAATAACACGGGTATGGTTTGCAGCAAATTGGGCATATTTTGCATTTTTCTTTCTTTTTCTCATCGTCTTTGTCGTCTTTGTCATCTTTCTTCTTCTTCTCTTTATCCTTGTCCTTGTCGTCTTTGTCCTTGGATTTCACTTCTTCAATTGTTAGAATTTCAGCGCACCTGAATTTCTTGTTTAGTCTTTTCATCAGAATATACGAATCAATCCCTTCTCCATTCACTACCAAGTGGTTTTTCTCTTCTACAATATCCACCGATTTCACTCCTGCGTCCATCAAAATACCTTATTGTCCATGCATATACATTGTCCATAATTCTACAGACATGTTGAACTCTAAAACTTCAATTCCAATGTAATGTATGTGTTATATATATATATATATATATATATATATATATATATATATATTAGTGATCATGTGAGAACCACCCTCCCCAGGAGTACATAAGAATTAACATAGTGCATTAAAAAATAAATTTACGGATAAGATTAGTTGGAGAATTCAATATTGGCGTGTGCATATGAAGCATGTGTTGTGTGCATAATTAGTCATGTATGCATATTAAGCATGAGTTGTGTGCAATGTGTGTGCGTGTGGACACATCTACACCATCCATCTTGAGAAATAAAAGGCTAAGATCTTACTATTACTAAATTTTTAAGTTTGCAATAATTATAAAATGAATAACATTTTTAAAAGTTTTCAATAATTATAAAATTGACCATGTATTTTTTACTAAACCTTCAACTATTGATGAAACATGATGAACAAGTGAGATTAGTCATTTGATCCTACCCCTATATATATATATATATATATATATATATATATATATATATATATATATATATATACATACACACACTTTCCATCTTGAGAAGTCAAAGGCTAGAATTTTACCATTACTAAACTTTCAAGTTTGCAATAATTATAAAATGAACATTGTTTTGAAAAGTTTTCAATAATTATAAAATTGAACCCATATCTTTTTTTTTTTAATTAAAATCATTAACCATTGATGAACCTGATGAACGGCTGAGACCAGTCCTCACTTTTTAAAAGAGGACTCTATTCTCATTTGATCATGCCCTTGTAAATTGAGTTTCAATTAGAGCTTTTTAATGATATGTTTTTTATAAATTAATTTTATTTGTATATAAAAAGAGAAAAATAAATTTAAGTTGGAAAAAAAAAAAGAATTTCTTGAGTGGATGTTGTTATATGTACCATGATTCATGATATAATTATTATATTGTGTGTGTTGTGGCCTGTGGGTAGAGATGTCAATCGAGCCAGCTCGTTCAGTTTCATGCTAGTCCTATTGGGCTTATCGCTTCAGACTTATAAGTTTTTTTTGGTCGTGTTTAAAATTCTTGGCCTTAACCCTACAACCTTGGTTGGCGTGCTCAACTAAAACTTTGACATTTTTAAATTAACATTTTAAACTTTCAATTTTAATAAACTAGCGCATAAACACTAATGTATATAAACTTATACATCATTCAATCAATATAAACATCAACTAAAATAATTAATATTTTTTTGAAAGTTACTGATTCTATTACATTGTAGTATCTATTCATATACTTTCTCAACCTACTGAAACACAAAGAACCAATAACGCCTCCACTGAGGCTCGAACTCATAATCTTCCAAATGGAAGTCCAACCCGGGTACCATTAGACCACATAGTCCTGGTAATAATTAATATATTTACACTATAATATAATTTTTTTTTAATTTTTCATTATTTGTTTTCATAAAAATATTTTATTTTGTAATAAATTTATTAAAATTTTAGTTACAAATTAAATAAAAATTATTAAAGATGAGCTTACATATAATTACATATATATTTTGTTCCACATCATATTACTTGTAAAACAAAAAAGATAGCCTTAAATATCTCGAGCTTTTAGACTAGCCCACTGAACTTCGGGCTAACCCATTTAGACATCAAGTTTATCAGTTTCAGACTTATTGAGATAAAATTTCTTGACCCTTTAATTTATTGAGTTAGTCCATTGATTTTGGGTTAATATTGAGATCTCTACTAGTGGGTAGTATGTAAAATTCAAAACTCAAAAGGAAACAAGGAGTAAAGAACCAAGGACCTTGTAGCCCGAAATTTCTGTGTTTTAGTAGGTTGAAAAAGTAATTATGAACAGATACTGCATTGTAATAGAGTTAAAAAAAAAAAGAGTAAAGAAAGGTTAAAAACTTAGAAAGCTGGACATACCCATACATCTTAAGAATTGAGTTTTGGGGCTTATTGACATCGAAATTTTGGTAGATATGAAAAATTTTGAATGATAAATTCTTATCATTTGTATATATTTTTTGATATAAAGTTTTAAATTGTTTATTTTATGTATTTACAATTATATAAAAAAAAATGGTCCATATTGAATTTTCGCAAGGATCTTATTTTTTTTTTTTTCAAGATTGGTCCTGAATAGATCCCACTAATATTTATGATTATTAGGAAAGAATATATTTATTTAGATATATGAATGAGATCAAGATATTGAGTAATGATATAAAAGATTTTAAAGTCACAACTATGGAAAAATGTCTTATGATACTGTGATACTATCACACCGATCCTCATCTGTGAGGCAAATCAAGTTTTTCATAAATATTATAATTCTTTTCATAACTCTTCAACCATTGATACATATTTTGATTTGAAAGTATTACATTTTCATCAAAAGTATCACATTTTTCTTTGTAAGGATTATTACACTTTCTCTCATAATTAACTGTTTAATCACTAAATATTATATTTTGATTTAAAAATATTATATTTTCTCTTATAAGTAACGACAATTTAAATTACTATGTTGACCTGACTCATCTTATAGAAGACTCACCGCACAACTATTTGTAATCATTAAGGATGTTCTTAGGTTACGTATATACATCTTTAGATATTTCTGTAGTAGAGGCTAGTGACTAGAGGTGGCCACGGGTAGGTTTAGGACTGAACCAGCCCTGAATCAACCCGGAAAAAATCAGGCATGGGCTTCACCGGGCCTAGGTCGGGCTTAGCCCAGACCGGGACCGACTTGTACAAGGCTGATCCAAGTCCTATTAAAAACAAGCCCGGGGCGCATCTCGAAACCGACCTAGGACAGCGTTCAGGCATGGCCCAAGCCCCTAGCCGGGCTAGGCACGGCCTTGGCCCGAACTTTGGCCCGTATGAGTTTGAATTAAAAAATAAAGTGTTTTCAAGTCCTTTTAAATAATGCTTCTTCCAATACTAGGTTTATAGATTTTTTACTTGAAACCTTACATTTACCTGTTAATTGTCAATTATTGCATATTATATATTGTACCCATGTTCTAAGTTTATATGTTCAAGAAGGATGACTTCAAGTTTGAGTGATTTTGTTAAACCGATTAGAAATTGTGCTAAATGACTTAGATACAATATAAACAAAAACAAACACAAAACCTAACTTTAAAATATTGTGTGCACAAACATGAAATAGCATGATTTTAAAATAAAAAGACATCGTAGTTTAAAAAATAAAATGACATTTAAAATATTAGAAAATATTATTAAGTTTTAATTAAAATGAATGGTTCAAATATTATTTTTAAAAAATATTAATTAGCATTATTGTATCAAATATTATTTCAAACAAAAAAATCATAATTATTATATATATATATATATATATATATATATAACAAAAGGAAATAAATAATAAAAATCCCGAACCTAGCCCTAAACCGGCCCACAAAAGGCACGGGACCGATTCGGGCTGGGCCCGGCACGAGAACAACCCAAATAAATTAGGGCCAATCCTAGTCTATGCTAGCCTAACCCCAAGATCGGTCGGGCCCGAACTTTGACCACCTCTACATACTAGTGACTCATTTTCTATTAAAACCAATTTTACCACCACATAAGGCATTAAGTTAATAAAAATTCCAGACAATTTTTAGTAAATGATCAGATAATTGACTTAATAATTATAAATTTCTAAATTTTACTTTTTATGAAAATTAATTATTAACTTTCTTGATTTGAACAAATTAACTATGAACAATCTAAGTTGATTTGCAGAATACTCATCAATCTAAAAGCATCAAATTAAAATTAAACATGATATCTCATCATATTTCTTTCATCATTCCAATTTGCAGATAAATTTTCTAAGAAAAAAAAAAACTTTAAAATCAGTGTAATAGCTATGATTAATTTTGTATTTCCGAGAAAGCATACCATATTGTTTTGCATCAACAAAAGTGAATTTATGTATTATTACCTTTTGTAGACACTGCAATTTTCATGGCCAGAGCTCGACATTTATCTGTGCTTACAGGCAAACTGATAATAATCTTTTTCTGCAAATTATAAATTAAAGAAAATACAAATAAAACCAAAACCATTCAATTGTTAATAATTAATTAATTGCAAAAATGCATACCTTCATGCTCAAAATACCCTTCCAGCGTCTGAGTTCTGACACCAGAAATTAGGTTCTGAGAAGATTTTGAGATGTTTATATAGGAGAAATGAGATATATTTATATACATGTACGGAGATCACAAAGTGAACCTAATACTATAATATAATGTTCATTATATACATACTATGTTTAAATTATTTGTTGTCAAGTACAAATTAAATACTCCAAATATTTTTATTTTTACTCTACTTACAAACTATATATTATTGAATTAAATAGTAAAGTCAATTTTAATTTTCAATTAACATATCATGAAAAAAAAAACTAAATATAGATCGAGTAATATTAAATCATAATGTCAATTATATTTTTGTTAAATGTGCATCATGTTTGAATCAAATTTAATAGAGATTAATATAATTAGGGGAAAAATTATCTTTGGTTTCTCAAATATTTATGGTGATTCCTTACTGTCAAAATTAAGTTGCAAAACATATTTTCAATTTAGTAAGATTTTGGATGTTTTGGTCTTTCAGCGAATGGAAACATAAAAGTTATTTCTTCTGAACTTAATTTTTTTTCTTGAAAGCTACTGACTCTATTACATTGTAGTATCTGTTCATTTATACTTTCTTAACCTGTTGTAGCACAAAGAGGATCTCATGACCTCCCATATGGGAGAGTCACTACATGCCATCTGAGTACAAATTTAAACTGAAATTGAGAACACAAAAATACTAAAACGTTCATAAATTAAACATTTATAAACTTTTTTTTCCCAAAAGATTGAATCCCAACTCCAAGAGCCCTCCGCACCCGGTTCGAGAGAATATTTGGGAGAATGTAAATCACGGTTACTCAATGGTTTATCAGACAGGGGGCAAATGTCAGTACGCACAAAGGATCTGCCCACTTTAATTTGGACATAATCCTCACACTACCGCTATCGAGGTTCAAACCTTGGTCTCTTCTCTTAAATACTGCATGCTAACTGATCAATTATGCTGTATTTATAACTATTTTTTTGTCTATTTTTTTTTTATCTAGTGAACTAAGCCGGTGCGGGCAACATATATAAATTAGTAATCTAATGGTGGGGTATGCTGCAGGTTTAACAACCGGACGACTCAACTGATTCCAAATGGTTTTCTTGCAATGTCTCTTCTAATCTAATTTATTTACTACGTTTTTTTTTTTTTTTTTTTTTTGTTATATTATATTATATTTGTGATTTTATATTTATGTAGATTTCCATCTAATATTATTCTTAGGAAGGAATGGTAGATCAATGATTTAAGTTTGGTGAGAACTTTACTCCTTCACTCTAAAAATAAAATAAAATTTTCCCTTTTTTATACGTGTAAATATGTGCTACAACAACTACCGTTTGACGTTGTCAAGAGGAATTCAACTGGTATTGATCAATCAAATTTGTTGATGATTGGAATTTATAGTCTCTAGGTTCATTTACTTTATTTTATTTTTTCAAAATTTAGGCAATCACATTTTTACCGGACTAATCCTAATCCCCCACAAGCCTGATGGCATTTAGTGACCTCTCCCATGTGGGAGGTCATGAGATCAAGCCTCAGTGCAAGGTTGTTGACTTTTTGTGCTTCATTAGGTTGAGAAAGTATATTTGAATAGATACTACAATGTAATAGAGTCAGTAGCATTCAAATACAAACCTACTGAATATTCCTTTAACTATTTATTATTCTTATTTCTTAACTTACTCATTGTTTATTTATTATTCTTATTTCTTAACTTATTGTTTTCATAAGGAAGGTCTTAGGTTTGAACCATCCCAATCAAAATTGACATAATTGTTAAACATATACTATGAATATGTTAGAGTATATTAAAAAAAATACAATATAATAGCTAATGCCTAATGTGATTGCGCTCTCTCTAGCCAGAGCTTCTTGGTATATTGGTCGGGAGGTGTGGGGCACAGATATCCCTCATTTTATTCGTGATTTGATTTCGCAATAATAGTTCGCTTTGATGGTTGTTTAAAAAAATGCAATATAAAATGTAACATTAACTTTGGTTAATTAATTAGAATCATGCATTGGGCATTGATGAAACGGTACACTTAATTTACAATATATATTCAACACAGATGAGAAACTATGCCTATTATCATTGTCTTTTTAGGGAAGGAGGATTTGGTTCTATTTTTCAAGGTGCACCGCGCCAAGATACTAAAATTGCAGTGAAGCACACCGAGAGACTAAATCAAATCAAGAATTCATTTACGGCGGGAGTGGCAACAAGCAGAAGCATGAATCACGCCAATTAATAGGGTTTTATGTTGTAAAAACTATGCTTAGGGGTACTATCCAGTGAGAGTGCTTCCTTCTAAAACTGTTATTACCCGCACCAGTTAATCCAACATTTCTGTCACAGGTCATAATTATGCATTTTTGAAATATTTATTTTATGAAAACTTTGATAATCTTGCATTGATATACGCCAGGATACTGAATGATACTTTGATAAATTCTGAAACACTAAATTAAAACTACACATTGGGCATAGGATTATTCGAGCAATGTGCGTGTGGTAATAACAATAACAATAACAATAAACAATAAACAATAACAATAATAACAATAATAACAATAACAACAACAACAACAACAACAACAACAACAACAATAATAATAATAATAATAATAATAATAATAATAATAATAATAATAATAATAATAATAATCTATCTATATATATATAAAAGTAAAATCCTCCTAACAAATTTTCCCCCCAAAACTTTTGTAGTAAAACATATTTGGTAAGTAAATGTCAAATGGAAAATAAATAATAATAATAATAATAATAATAATAATAATAATAATAATGTTGTTGTTACCTTAAATAAATAAATTATTATATTTTCCCTTAAATAAATAAATTATTATACTTTCCTTTTGAATTAGTATTTTCTACCTATAAATACAATGACTTCTTCAATCAAAGAATCTCAGACTCATTTCTCTGCTTTCTTTTTGTATGAATTTTTTATATTTTTCTAACTATATTCTCACGTACTTCAATATGTTTTGCAATTTATATCATCTGGTATGAGTTTGAAGATACTTAAGAAGGCTTTGCTTCAACAAAAGGAAATTGAGGAGGAAGAGCATTTGTAACAGAACTCTGTTGGTTTAGTTTTTATGGAAGATTGTAGAGATGCGATCGAGGATGATAAAGACGGTAATTTTGATAATTTTGTAAGATTTTCTAAAACTTAGAGTTGGTATGTTGACTTCGAGATTTGTACATGCCATTCAAGTTTCTATGTTTTTTTTTACCAAGCAGAGTTCATTTTACAACATTTTTATAATTAATTAATATATATATATATATATATATATATATATATATATATATATATATATCACAACTTGAGTAGAGTGTTTGTTTAACCTATTAAATTAAAAAAAAAAAAAAAAACTGGAATCCTGGAACCAGTTTTTTTTTTTTTTTTTTTTTTTTAATTTAAATAATTAATTTTTAAAATTTAAATTTTAAAAAATAATTAATTTGGAAGGATGACCTGTTGGAAACCTTCTAATTGAAAAAATTGTTTGAAATTGATTAGTTTAGGGACCTAATTGTTGGTTTTTTAAGTTCAGTGGCCTAATTGTTTTATTGTGTGCAGTTCGATGGCCTATTTGACCCTTATTCCTAATAATAATAATAATAATAATAATAATAATAATAATAATAATAATAATAATAATAATAATAATAATTAGTAATATTATTGTTCAATATAATATTTAAAAAAAAAAACTTATTTCAATTGGTAATGTATATTCTATATTAATCTATATTTATATTCTATATTAATTAATAAAAACAAATCATCCTTTACAAGCTCCCGCCTAAACAATTAATAATAATATGAAAAAATAAAAAAGAATGGAAGGAAGTCGTACCCCCAAACAATTAATAATAATATTGGAAAGAAAATTAATAATAATATGGAAGTATGGAAAATAATGGAAGGAAATATTATTCATGTGAATGTTTTCTACACTCTGAAAAAATGAAAAAAAATCAATAAGCAGTATAAGGAAAATAATCATTAAGATATTTTACAATTAATCTTTTACGAAAGATTTTGCGTAAAAAATAACAAACGAATTGGTTATTACTAATTTAGTCTTATTTTACTATTAATTTTTATGAAAAATTCTGCATAAAAATTAATAAAATCGGTTATTAATAATTTAGCTTAATTTTACTATATTAATCTTTAAGAAAAATTCTGCGTAAAAAATGTAATAGAATCGGTTATTAATAATTTAGCTTTATTTTACTATTAATCTTTAAGGAAGATTTTGTTAAAAAATAAAATAGAATTAATTATTAATAATTTAAATTAAAATTAAAGTACATATATTTTCCTATTCGTAATACAATTTTACTTACTGTTTTACAAAATCTTCAAATAATAATTGGTAATATTATTGTTCAATTATAATAAAAACTTTAATTTTAATTGGTAATCCATATTCTCTATTAATTAATAAAAACAATATCATCATTTACAAGTTCCCGCCTAAACAATTAATAATAATATGAAAAAATAGAAATGAATTGAAGGAAGTCGTACGCCAAAACAATATAGAATAATATTGGGAAGGAAATTAATAATAATATGGAAAAATAGAAACGAATGGAAGAAAATGTTAGTCATGTGAATTTTTTCTACACTCTGAAAAATGGAAAAGAATCAATAAGCAGTATAAGAAAAAGAATCATTAAGATACTATTAATCTTTTAGGAAAGATTTTGCATAAAAAATTGAATAGAATTGATTATTAATAATTTAACCTTATTTTACTATTAATCTTTAAGAAAAATTCTGCCTAAAAAAATGTAATAGAATCGGTTATTAATAAGTTAGCTTTATTTTACTATTAATCTTTAAGGAAGATTTTGCTTAAAAAATGAAATAGAATCAATTTATCTATATCTATATATAATTAAAAACAAAATCATCCTAATTCATTTTCCCTCCCAAACTTTTGTAGTAAAGCTTATTTGGTAAGTAAATCTCAAATGGAAATTAAATAAAATCTATTAATTCATAAATAATAATAATAATAATAATAATAATAATAATAATAATAATAATAATAATAATAATCCAAACAAAACCATATACAAATTAAAATTAAAATTAAAAAAAAAAAATAAGAAGAACGCAAAGGTGGCTTCCCTTTGTAAATGATGTGGATCATTTCGATCCCACATTGAAGAGCTCCTCTATATAAGAGGATCATTGCTTCTCTTACAAACATATAATTGCTTGCCCATCAATGTGGACAAGTATTGAGAAGTCCAAAGATTTTTTTTTTTTTTTAGTATTATTGACTCGACAAATTATGCTGTGGCACCGTGTCCACCTTGCAAAGTAGACACAGTTCAAAAATTGTTCATAATTATGAATATATAGTTCTATAATTTGAATATATAGTTCTATAATTATAAACATAGTGTTGTGAGCATTATTATAAACATATTGTTATGTAATTATGAATATAGAGATTTAATAATTGTGAATATGAAATTCAAAAATTATGAATATATATATATCCAAACAAAACGATATACAAACATTTATAATAATAATAATAATAATAATAATAATAATAATAATAATAATTTAGTTTTATTTATTATTTATTATTATTTATTATTGGGGGTTAGGAAAGATTAACTCAAAATATATGTGTTGTTTTAGATTTTAGCAGTTTGGAGCAAATTACTTAGTTATTAAATAATATTTTTGGTGTTTTGATTAAAGATAAATTGTTAAAATGACGAATTTGTCAATAATAATAATAATAATAATAATAATAATAATAATAATAATAATAATAATAATAATAATCCAAACCAATATACAAAATAAAATTAAAATTTAAAAAAAATAAGGAGAAGACAAAAGGGAGTCACGGGCTCCCTTTGTAAATGATGTGGGATCATTTTGATCTCACATTGAAAATGTTTGAAAAGAGGAGCAATGCTCCTCTTACAAACATAATTGCTTGCCCATCAATGTAGGCAAGTAACCTAAAGGGTGTGGTTGAGTATAAGGAACTCATCCATCCTTGACCAAAGGTCAAGGGTTCGATTCTTGGATTTGGGAATGGAGCAGTCTTAAATCTCTAAGCCAGCTGTCCCATCCAAAAGAGGTGCTTACAATTTAGCGAGGAGATTAGTCACTGTGTCCAACGGTGGAAACCCTGGATTTACCAAAAAAAAAAAAAAATCAATGTGGGCAAATATTGAGAAGTCCAAAGTCTTTTTTTTTTTTTTTTTTTTTTTTTTTTTTTGGGTTAGAAGTAAAGGAAAATTAAAAATGGAAAGGAAATATTTTAATAATAATATTTTACATCATCAAATAGTAAAGACATATTTTTAAAAATAGTAAAGATAAATTAAAAATGGAACAAAAATATTTCATTAATAATATTTTACATCATCAAATTAAAATGGAACGAAAATTAGGTAAAAATATCACTGCATCTTTATTCTAATTGACTAATTGATTGGAAATAAAAAAGAATAATTAACTGAAAATGAATCCAATATTACTAATTGACTGAAAATATAAAAGGAAATGAATATTAATAATTGACTGCAAATAAAAAATGATCTATAATTGACTAAAAAAATGGTAAGATCATTGCATTTTAATTAAAAATGGAATGAAAATTAAAAATTGGAGGAAAATATTCCAATAATAATATTCTACATTATCAATAGTAAATGCATATTTTAAACAATAGTAAAGGTAAATTAAAAATGGAACGGAAATATTTCAATAATAATATATAGATCATCAATTAAAAATGGAACCGAAGTTAGGTAAAAATATCACTGCATTTGATATTCTAATTGATTGAAAATTAAAAAAAAAAAAAGAATAATTGACTGAAAATGAATCTGATATTACGAATTGACTGAAAATATAAAAGGATAACTAATTGAGTGATATTCTACCATTATATATTTTCACCCAAGTAACCCGTCCTGATGGAGAAGATGTTAGCTCTAGACGAAGATGAACAAGATTGTGTTGTCACTACCAATGTCGTCTACAAAGAGGTTTCAATAATGTGTAAATATAATCGGTGATATTAATTTTTTTTTTAAATGAAAAAATTGCTATATATCTAGACAAAAAAATATATCTTCCATACAAATGAATATGGATAGCAATTCATTTCTATAACTGAGTTGTTAGAGAACGAGCACATTTACCTAATGTATGAAAATACTAAACAATGATATAAAAACTCTTCAAAATTATAAGACCGCATCCGTACATCTAGACATTAGCTATTAATTTGAGCAATTATGTGCACAAATTCAAGCAATGATAACATCAAAATATATAAACGATTCAAATCATATCTTTAAGTGCACTATATAATATTTGATGTTCTAATTTAAATAATTATATATCGATTCATATATTCTTAATATATTACAACATATTCATTCCGTGCATCGCACGGGTGCAAATACTAGTAATAATAATAATAATAATAAGAGTTAATGAACAATTTGGTCCCTCAATTATTAGCGAACTGTCAATGTAGCCCCTCAATTGCTTATTCATCGATTTGGTCCCCGAAAACAGTTATTTTTAGTCGATTTAGTCCCTCAGGCCGTCTTCCGTCGGTGACCGGAGGGACTAAATCGACTAAAAATAATTGTTTTTGGGGACCAAATCGATGGCTGGAGGGACTAAATCGACTAAAAATAATTGTTTTCGGGGACCAAATCGATGAATAAGCGATTGAGGAACTACATTGACAGTTTGCTAATAATTGAGGGACCAAGTTGTTGATTAAGTCTAATAGTAATAGTAATAGTAATAGTAATAGTAATAGTACAACTACAACAACTTCTACTACTACTACAACTACAACTACAACTACTATCAGTATGTACTTTATGTGTTTTTTGACCGTGGTTATTCACACAGCTTATAGTCCACGCAATAATGATTGATTGATATATTGTACGCTGATAATAATGTAAATGAAAAATTGATTATCAAGATAGGTACATTTGAATTGGAAAATAAAGGTAAAAATTAAGGTTTAGAAGAAACTTTTGTCACACATTTAAATGGAAAGTGAGTTTGCACTAGTATAAATACAAATATTTTTTTGAAGGAATTTGAATTGTGAAGTATATAGACTCTTGTGCACCGGTGACTTGCGTACACGATTCAATCTTCTTGTGGCTTGCATCATATCAACAATGGCAATGTAAGTTTGGGCATTGGCAATGTAAGTTTGGGCAAATTATATCATGTACCGCGGTGCATAATTTGATGATTACAGTTTTATTTCATTTCAATTGCAGTTTCACTTAATAATATAAAAATAATACGTGAGACAGTGTTAGTGTAGTATCTGTTCATATACTTTCTCAACCTACTGAAACACAAAGAGCTAATAACGCCTCCACTGAGGCTTGAACTTACAACCTTCCAAATGGAAGTCCAACCCGGATACCATTAGACCACATAGTCCTGGTGACAGTGTTAGTTTAGATACACTGTAGTTTCAGTTAGTAATTAATACACAAAAAATACACACTCCGTTAACTGTAACGGTGTGCCGCTTTTTTATTTAAAGAAACGGTGCCGTTTTTAATCCCGGTGCACGTACACCACGGTCCACGATATATTGACCCGTAAGTTTGAAGAACTACCGCAGCAACGGTAACATTATATAGCTAGCTAGCATGCACAGTTTGCATACATTTTAGTGCTAGCTGTTCATTTGTCTTTGTCGTCACTACAACAGTCCTTTTTTTACTTCTTCTCCTCCTTTTCAATGGTGTGAATGTTGGCGCATTTGAATCTCTTCTTGATGCCTTTCATCAACTTGATGGAATCAATCCCTTCTCCTTTCACTACCAAGTGGTTTTTCTCCTCTTCAATGCCCACCGATTTCACTCCTGCATGCATGCATGCATCCATCCATGTGAGCAGGTGTGACAGTTAATGGTTTTTTTTTTTTTTTTTTAAGTTTCTATAGATATTCATTTTAGAATTTCCTAGTTATGTTTATCTTTAGAGTGCACTTAGCAACGATATAAAGTACACTCAACAATGATATAATCAGTGGCGGATCCATAAAATCATCTGAATTGGGGCGAATATTAAATGATGTTAGAAATGTCAATGACAAAATATCAAACAATCATAATAAGGTTAAATACAAAATACATTATAAATAACAATATATTTATGAGAAAATATGAAACATAATCAATTAGATAAAATAATTTGAATAACAATATATTCATAAATACTTTTAAATTTTAATTTCTTTTAATTAGATCCATTTTTCTAAATTAATTCAAATACAATAAATTAAAGTATATTATAAACTTGTATACTATATTAATTAAATGATTTATAAAAACTAGACTAAAAGAGCATTTAATTTGTTAATTAAATGATTCATAAAAAGTAAACTAAAAATATTTAATTTTTGTTGTAAGGAAATGAAAGAGAGAAGATAATTAAAAGTGTTGCTAATGAGATTTGAACCCATGACATAAGTCTTTCATAACATAAAATTTAAAATTCAACCAACTAAGCCACCCAAAGTATTGATATTCAACATAAATATAGGTTTTATATAATATTTCATGCTATATATGTATAGATATACATACATATATATAAAGGGGTGGGGTGGGGGGAGTGGGGGCAGCTGCCCCCGCTGCCCCCACACTGGGTCCGCCCCTGGATATAATGTGCACTCAAGGATATTGATAGTAATAAGGTTAGCGGAATATATTTATGGAAATGAGTAAACAAACTAGTAGGATTGCTAAAAGTTTGAATACAAGATTTGAACGTGTCTCCTATAGGAGCCAAGTATTTATATTGGCCATCGCCTATTCTTAGTACAATGGCTCCACACTTAATACAAACACAAATATGTTCCTAATAAGTGCAATGACTCCTTAATAACTGTAGCACACACCTTAATAAGTGTAGTAATTCTCCGTTAAGTGTAACGGTTCCACCTGCTCTCTCATATTAACTGTTTCTCTTGACATTACAGTTGACTACGTTAATCATATTGTTTTGACTCATCGATTGGTTCGGGTTGGACCAAAAGTGCATCGGGTTGAATCCAACACGTTATCCAATGCAAAAATGCAAAAGTGCATTGCACTTAGGTTTCTGATTTTAGAGTTTATGACTTAGTTTTTTGTTTTATTTGGTTTAGTAGTTAACTTTTCACTGCTTAAAGTCTAGCATTTACGATTTAGATTTAAACTTTTAGCTTTTTCGTTGATTTTATAAAATTTACCAAGTTTGCATATTTAGTTGTTAAAGATTAAATATTTAAGTGTTCAAGTTTGCATAGTGGAGTTGATGATAATTACGAAAATGCAACTACATTTTTTTAAAAAATCTGATTAAATCCGTCAAATTTTTACTGATGTAAGGCTGTGATTGGTTCTTATTTATCTCCTATGGTAATGTTCTCACAAGATCCTAAGCATATATATATATATATATATATATATATATATATATATATATATATATATATATATGATCTTATTTTAACACATTTAATTTAATAAAGTTGATATATGTTTAATAATTTTGTAGATGAATAAAATAAAAATAGCATGCCAACTACCATGTAATGTGATGACATCCGGTTACCATTTCAAATGGATTGTTATAGGTTCAAACTCCGGTAGTGGGAGTTTAGATTTTTTAAGCTGAGAATGTTTGAGAAAATATAGAACAAATAATATCTTCTAAACAATTATTAATACTTCAAAAAAAAAAAAATACTAAAGTTAGCATAGGATGTAATGAAAGTATGAAACATTTAAAAAAAAAAAAGAAGTAATATGCATTTCTCAAATATTTGGCACCATGTATATAAAGAAAATTAGAAATGGAAACCACATCAGCATAACATGAAACACACGAAATTGTATTGCATCTAGAAAAAGGACAAGTTACCTCCTACACCGGCTGCAATTTTCATGGCTTTAGCCCGGCATCTCTCGGTGTTTACCGGCAAACTGATAGTAATCTTTTGCTGCAAAGTAAAGACCTTAATTATACATTTATACATACTTAGTTTATAATTGACACATCCTTAATCTTGTTTATGGAAGACGACTTAGACCCACATACCTTCATATTCTTCGTTATTTTCGAGTTTTTGAGGTGGGACTTGGAGCTTTTGGCCTGGGTTAAGCATTGCTTAATTTATATATAAAGAGTATTGTATATATGCTTGAAAACGTCTAATTAATGACGATTAAGTTGGGGAGGGTTCAACAACCCGAGGACTCAACTTCCAAACGCTTGAGCTTGATGGTATTTATATACATGCTTCTCCCAAAAGGTTGAATTCCCAACCCCGGTCCGACAAAGCATTTGAGATGATGTAAATCACGGTAACTCAATGGTTCAGCGGACAGGGCCAAATGTCGGTGTACACAAGGAATCTGCTCACTTTGGACATAATTCCCACACTGCCGCCGCCGAGGTTCAAACCTTGGTCTCTTCTCCCAAATACTGTCCACTGAACTATTGAGCTAAGCATGTGCGGACTATTTATATACACTTACTATATAGACTAGCTAATGGGCACTCTTGCGCAAAATATGCCATACCCAATGGCATATTGATGATAGTATAAATGATAACGTTATAAATATCAACAACGTTTATATATATAAGAAAAAAAGAATTACATAAATAAAGATATTGAAGACAAGGCAAACAAAAACTCAATTATTACTTTAATAGCTTATTATGCCATATAAGGTTTAGGGATGATCACGGTTCGGTTCGAATCGAACTAGAAGGACGATTTCAGTTCCGGTTCAGAATTGGCTGGAATCTCCAGTTTCAGTTTGATAAAATCTAAACCGAAAAAGAAAATAAAATTGAACAATGCTATTGAAGGAGCCGGGGAGTCAATGACTTAAAAAAATACTACAACAAAAAATGTAAGAGAACTACGTGGGATTTGATTCTTATTATAATTTTTTAAAGATACATAGTAAACTTATTTTTGGTAAAATTAAGTGCAAGCCCAAAATTATTTTTATGCTTTTATTTTATCTTTAAAGTTTAAATATTTGATATAATAATTTTAAAAAAAAAAATTAGAGTGAAAAAAAAAGTAATTGTAGAATTTGAACTATTTTAAAAAATAAAAAAATTACAAAAAAAAAAAAATCAGTTCAAACCGAAACTACCAGCTCCAGTTCCTCATTTTTCAGAACCGAATCACAGTCATGCCTACTAGTTCTTCACGTAATACTACTAAAGTCTTAGAGAAACTGTATCAGGGGTTTGTTTGGGGTTATTATGCACACATGGAAGAAAGAAGGGATGTCTTAGAGGAGAGAGGATGAGGAAAGAAAAAGAATTGCATTTCTAATATGTATGGTTTTTTGTTGGTTCCACGAATTTATTTTTTATTTTTAAACAAAAATAATGTCGTTGGTGTGCGTTTGTGCACCAGCTACACCCAACAGCTGCGTGCAATGGACGTGCGCCTCTATGTGCATAAACTATCATTTTTTTTTTCCTAAAATGAATTTTTTTCTCCCCTTTTCCTACTTCCAATAAAAAACTATACTCTTGAAATTGCTCTTACGGTTAAAATCTTATTGCCTTTATATTGACTTTCGTATTTTCTTCTCAATTAATCTCATTCATAGCCAACTCATGTCTTAATGTCGAAAACCTTGATTCACATATTGGTTTAGTGGAAATATCGATCATCAGTTGCTTATCTGTGTTGTTGTTTTCTGTCTCTTTACATTCTTCTTTTTAACATGGCATATATACAAACAAATGAAATGATGTTGTGTAGCATTGTGTATGTTTTGTTCTTGAATGAACTACTAGATTTTGTATAATAGCATTAACACTTGTGTTTTCACATAAAATGCTAATATATTTTGCATCAACCCCGTGGTCCTAATAAATTTAGGTCCTGTTTGGTAAAAAATTGACCTATAGACTAATTTTAGTTTATTTGACCACTATTAATTGTTTGATTTAGTTAAAATATCAATATAAGTGTTTAGTTAATTAGTTTTTTGTAACTCCAAAATGCTAAAATTCAAAAAGCTGCTCCGAGCAACTTTTTCAATTAGCTTTTTCAGAAAAGAAATTATACCAAACAATTATCAGCTAACAACTAATTTACCACACACTTTTCTATAACAGCTAATGTTATCAACTAGTTATACCTTCTAATTAACACAATCATCTAATAGCTAACAACTAACAGTCATTTACCAAACAAGGCCTTAACCTTCATGCCAGATTGTTTCCCACAATAACATTTTGAAATCTTCAAACATTTGCAATGTGATGGTTACTTTGTTGTCATTCTCTTGTTTATAACACATTCACCAATAATCTTCATCCATTCTTCCTAGATTTCCTTAGTTGATGCACATTTAAAAGTCGAAGGACCATAAATGGTTAATTTGAGAGCTTAGGATTAAACGTGACAAAATCACTATATTTGGAGGATCCTTGATGGTATTAACTCTTTTAAGTTTTAAGAATATTTCATATTGAATGACTATTATCTCATTAAATAAGATGCATACATTTTTTTTTTTGGGTGCAAATGCGATACATAAACTGATGATACTATACACATAAATTTAAATTTTTAATTTCAATTTTCTGTAACTTAAACATTTTTACTTGAGTCGAAGTTTTCTAATATGTTTAATTCAACTCTAATTATTAGAGAATAAAGATGGCAGTTAAAGTAGTTAGCAGTTAAAAGCAGTTAGGATATTCTTTTCAGCTCATTAGCCTTGTATATAAAGTAGCAGTTTACTTATTGAACTGTTAAGCAATGTAACAGTGTTTTCTTCAATAACAGATTTCCTTCCCTTTCGATTCTCTTCTTTTGTAATATGGTATCAGAGCCATAAGCCGTACTCATGGCTTGGAATGGAGCAGCAAACAGATCACAACCAACTGTGGCGGCACCATCACCAGCGGCAGCCACAGCACCACCCCCGGCCGTACCTGTGAATCTCGCCGGAACAAATTTCGACCCTAATGATGCTGCGAGTCCTTATTTCTTGCATCTGAACGAGAATCCATCACTAATTTTGGTTTCGTCTGTCCTCAATGGGAAGAATTATCACCCTTGGGCAAGGGCAATGGAAATGTCACTCCTCTCCAAGAACAAATTAGGTTTTGTTGATGGCACCATTCCAGTACCGAATGTAGGAGAAGTAAAGTATCCTTACTGGCGGAGGTGTAACAACATGGTGGCGACTTGGATCATGAGGTCCGTTTCTCCAGAAATTGCATCAATGGTCCTCTGGATTGGAACAGCTGAGAGGATATGGAGCACACTGAGAGCTAGGTTTAGTGAAGCAGATATTTTCAGAATCTCATACATACAAGCTGAGATTCATCAAATTAGGCAAGGTGATTTGAATGTAAGTGCCTATTTTGCCAAATTAAAAAACTTATGGGATGAGCTTCAAGTTGTCAGACCTTTGCCTACATGCAAGTGTGAAAGAACATGTGATTGTGGATTACTGGAGACTCTGCAACAACAATTGGAGAATGACAATTTATCTGTTTTTCTGAGGGGTCTTAATGAGACTTATTCCTCTGTTCAATCTCAAATAATGATGACAAAACCATTACCTACTGTTGATGAGGCATTCATGATGGTCCAACAACAAGAAAGAAGGTTCAATGGTGGCATGATGGGACTACAAGTCCAAGAAGCAGGCAGTATCATGTTCACTCAAGGCAATAATGCCAGTTCCAAGAAGTTCTATTCAAACAGCAACAAGAAGCCTATCTGTTCTTATTGTGGCTTCACTGGACATGTTGCAGAGAAATGCTACAAGAAGAATGGTTATCCACCTGGATGGAAACCAAGAAGTAGGGTTGTTGGTACTGCTAATCAGGTTGCAATCAACACAGATGACCAATGTCCTAATGTGAATGATGGTCCTGTCACCCTGAGTCAAGATGAATATAGAATGATCAAACAGCTTCTTCAGAGGGATAGTGTGGTTCATCAATCACCTCTGAGTATGGCTGGAGGAGTGGCACCCCAATCCAACTTAATTGCTGCAAACTTTGCTCCCAATCCTCAATTAGAAGGTAATCATCCTAAACCTTCTCTTGAAAGTAAGGATAATTGGATACTGGATAGTGGGGCTACCCATCATGTTGTCTGCCATCATGGTTTATTAACAAATGCCAAAAGAGTCCAAGGTATGTTTGTTGAGCTACCTAATGGCAACAAAGCTGACATTACACATATAGGATCTGTACATGCTGATAGTTTGGTCCTACAAAATGTGTTTTGTGTACCTGCATTCCATTACAATCTGATTTCTGTGAGTGAATTGATTAAGACTTCCAAATGCAAATTGTTGCTGTATTCTGACCTATGCACCATACAGGATCAGGAGTGTGGGAAGATGATTGACTTGGCTAGATTGCAGAAAGGGCTATATTACCTTGAAAAACCAGTGTTTCCTGGTTCTGATAGAATAATACATGTTAGGGCCAATGCTTGTAACTCTGCTGGTACTTGGCATGCTAGATTAGGACATTGCTCCCATGGGAAGTTGAAACAACTCCCTTTATCAGATGTAGATTTGAAAATGAATAAAGATGATATTTGCAATATTTGTCACCTGGCTAAACAAAAAAGATTACCATTCAACATTAGCATCACTGTTTCTGATAATTGCTTTGATTTAGTCCATATTGACATCTGGGGACCATATCACACACATACCATGTATGGACACAGGTATTTCCTGACTATTGTTGATGATTATAGCAGGGCCACATGGGTTTATTTACTGAGAAGCAAGAGTGAAATCAGGGGACTGGTTCAAGGCTTCTGTGCTCTATCTGTGACTCAATTTGGAAGGATGATCAAGTGTATAAGAACAGACAATGGACAGGAGTTTAAGATGAATAAATTCTATCAAGAAAATGGCATAATCCATCAGACAACATGTGTATATACTCCCCAGCAAAATGGTGTAGTTGAGAGGATGCATGGTCATATTTTGGCAGTAGCAAGGGCCCTTAAGTTCCAAGCAGGATTGACAGATGCTTTTTGGGGAGACTGCATATTGCATGCAATATATATCATCAACAGGCTGCCCTCAATAGCCCTGCAAGATCAGATTCTTTATTAGGTTCTTTTCAAGA